GATTTTGTGATAATGCGGGTCGAAGTAAATAAAAGCTCAGTGAAAGAATTGAACGCAAAGAATAGACGTAAGTTAATCAGAGCGAGAACGAGTAGGATGATAGTATTAGTAAAAAAAACAATGGCAGCATCTGCATATTATTGTAATGGGATGGTTGTTTATCTCCCAGTTTTGGTGAGGACCCACTTTGGACTTAGCCTTTGTACCGTTCCAGGTGAGCTGGCCTTGGGGCCATGCCAGTAGCCCAAATAACTTCTCTGTGACAAATGTATATCCTACCCAAGTATTTTGTCTTCTTTCTTCTTCAGAGAAGTCTTGGGAAGGTACATTTTCGAAACAGCGTACGTTTCTTATGTGCATCAATTCAAATGTTATGCAGGCATACTGGAACAGCACCATAACTATAACACGCTAAAATAAAAAAGACCAAAATTTATTAAACCACAGAACCATTTATTTTAAATGTAGAGGTTAAAGTTTATAATATTCATTCCTACAAAATTTGTTCCTGCTGCACTGTCATTGAATTAGAGGCAGAAAACCATAAACTTAATTTAACTCACTTATTTGTTAAGAATACATTTGCATCGTTTGCGAATGGAATTTATGAAAGCAAATAAGATTTGCGGCATTCTGCTTATGTGCCAACTTAGTCGCATCAAGTGGGTAGGCAATTGATAATTTGAGGCCTTAATTGCATGCAAAATGTAAATTCCATTGATTTAAAGCATCTAAAGGTATTATTATTACCGAAGAGGCAGTTTTGAGTTTCGTGTGTGTTGGCGCTTGTGGGCAGATGTTACTCTAGCGGCGGTCATTTGCACGATTCGTTCACAATATACCTCATTCCATTTCCTTTTCATTAATTTGTATGCTATTGAAATATTTTGGTCTGCATTTTCTGTTAAAGTGCTGTAGAATAGACCTGGAAGTATTAAATTCGTATTTTTGTTAATTGGGCCTGAGGTGCATGTTTCTATCTACGCAAATAATTTGGCAAAATAAATGCCTGGTAGATTCAATTTGTATTTGTTGAATTTGTTTGTAGGTATTGGTAATGTATATTTGCTAGAATACTCTGCTACACTGGAATAGTATAATTCGGCGCTAGTGTTTAATGTTGCTGCTTCCGGATTTTCAAGAGTAGCCCATTTCTGGAAAATAAAGCACATCTCTTGTGATGTGGAAGCATTAGAGCATAGGTGTAGGGAACTGCGTATTACTGTTAATCGTGTATATGGCTGTTTTGCTGTGAGGAATTTGCACGTCTTAGTTTTCGTTGGCTTGCTCCATGCTTATGATGTTGGCGTTTTAGCCTACCTTATTTGTGATCTGTTGGATTGCCCTTGGGCCTCATCAGTGTTTTTTTGCCCGACATTTCTTTTTAGGATCCTCCTTTTCCTACTGGGTACACATTTAATATCGCTGTAGCACAAACCCCTGCTTCAAGAGGCCTCTTGAGGCGGGTCTTCTTCAGACGTTGTCGTGAACCAGGTAGGTAGACTAGTGCCGTCTTACAACATTGATGTGCACATTCTAGATCACACAGTCAATGACTATGAGCAATGCCGGTATGTTTGAAATGACAAGGCAACTAAGATAGCCGACCAGCTGCACACAGCAATGGCGCCTTTGGGAGAGTGCCCTTCATACGTAAGGTATCTGAGCTCTGACGTCCGAAAGAATTAACAGTTGGTTTTTGATGGTCTCTGGTATGTTCCAACTGGGGAGGGCATTGGCAGCTTCTTCGTTGAATTCGAAGCATTCACCATGGTGAGAGTAGATGAAATGATGTACAGCGGCATGTTGGCTTTCTTCACAGCAAAGGCACCCCGCATTGCACCTTTTATTTTTAGACAGGAAACAGGAAAGTCGCCACAAAACATAACTAATGCAAAAGCAGTCATTTGGGTCCCGTGGAAATGACAAATTTGCGTGCTACCTGCTGGTAATGCGACCTCATTTGCCGCCAAACGAGGCCGAGACGCCTTCTGCCAATGGGCTATGACCCTCAAATTGATTTACTTGGAGGTGCAAGGAGTGGGCATGTTGCTTAAATATGCATGAATATGCCCTGGCCGAAATATACCTGATTTGAATGCTTTGCACTCTGGTCTTCATTCACTTGCAAGGGCTAGGTTTCAGTGGACGTCAGCGTCATCTACAATGCCTCGACAG